TTTGTTACATCTATCTAGTTTTGTGATTACCTCTGTACAATGCCTGTACGTGTTCTAATTCTTTGTTTAATGACACACAAACAACTAGCCGACATGGGCTCTGTTTCTGCTAAACAGCACACATCCACAAGTCCTCTTACGGCAATTGCTTATGGCAATCTCCCAAGCAAAATATCTTCAGTAAACAACATCTTCAGTCAGAAGCATGCATTAATTTACACATACAACATACCCTAACAAACTCCACAGCCCTACTAGCAGATGAAAAGTTAAAAAAATACTAGGGATTTTTAATGGTAAAATGCATTTTCTTAGGACAAAAAAGGGAGTACAAGTCTGACTTCTCAGTGCTACATTGCGTAATTAACAGGAACTAAGTTACACAACTTCAAGTGCCTAAGTGAAATACAACCTGTACTTTGCATTTCATGGTTGGTTTGCATTCATGTCACTGAGAAAGATAACATGCATTCATAACCCATTATCCCTACTTCACTTTTTTCTGCGAAATCATTCTCTAACCACAGGATGTGACTCCACATTAAGTTCAACAAAACTAAGTTTTGTAAAGGCTTTCACAGGCCCCACCATTCCTAAAAAAAAAAACCCCACACAGGGCGAGTCTTGTGTAGCCCCTAATGTATTTTGTAGAGGGCGCACGACTGTAACTACTTGTCATCTCATGAGTTTGATGGCAATGTGCGTGCAAATATGGAACCTGGAAAGAGCAAAAGAAGTCAAGCTGAGGAATGCCAGAGCAGGAAGGAGGACTGTGTCCTCATCTTCTTCACCCAAGAACTCCTGTTTCCAGTAGCAGCCTCCTTTCTGACAAATCACATGATGCTTGCTAGGGAGGACACCTGCTACTGCAAACCACTACATTTTTACACCTATGGGAAGGACAAAAGTGCTTCTGCTGGCTCACTTTTATTTCTGGATTCAACAAAGTGTTCCAATATGCTTCTGCTCCTCACATCAGTCATGTCCACAAGCCAGAGACCAGACTCTTCTCTCGTTTTCTCCCTATAAAGCGTTTTGTTGGTTTTTTGGTGTTTTGTTTGTTGTTGGCAGGTTTTTTTAGAGCAGATCACAGAGTGAAGTTAAAAGACAGAGGAAAAACACACTTGCCTTCTCTACTTAATTTTTGTTAGTGGACACTCCTGTTACTGTAAGGCGCAGAAGACCACCACAGAACCTCAAGGCATAAAAATTGGGTGGGAAGAGGTGGCTTGGGAAAGAGATGGATGATCAGATATGCTCCCTTTCTGTTGCCTTGGAAACCCACTCAAGGTACGCAGAAAGGGAGAACACTCCTGGGCTTGCTGATCTCTTTCACAAGCCTTGTGGTGGAAAAGCCCTCCTTTTCTCACCAATACATCCCAGCTGAGTACTTTATATTTTTAAGTTCCTCTACCAGGGACAATTACTATAATCAAAGTCAACATTTTCTTAAAATCTCAAAAGCTAGTAATTGTTAAAATAAGACTTTATCATCTACGCTCTGTATTAATACTGAAGAGCCCAAAAGATTCCCATCTAGCACATAACTTGGATCTCTGTGTTGCCTGGCTCTCTGTATTGCTTGGCTATATAAAGTGGAAAAACAAGTTAGTGAACCCTGGCAAAAATATTTCTATTTTTAGGATAATTCCAGACTTTTGTGTTCAGTTTACACCAAGTTTTATGGAAAATTCTACCTAAGCCTCAAATCTAACCTTCCCAACTGAGGGTTGTCTTAACATTTCGTTCTGGAAGGATAAGCAGATACAGTGTATACTCAACTACATTACTTGCAAGACTGACTGCCATAACTCATGATTCCTTTTGCCTGAAAGGTGGATATTGCTTGAATTCCTCAGTTCTACTTCTTGAAAGAGAATCAGTTCAGTATTCATTTTCAAAGATGAAGCATGAATTATTAAACTTATAAAACACATGTATGTATGACGCACCACACCCCAAAAGTAAGCCAGTATTACTCTGCAGTAAGACGTAACTATTTCACTGTAGGACGACATTAAACTCATTAACCCAACTGCAACTCCTGGTTTAATACTTGAAATCTTTGGCTCCCAGACAACCCTGGTGATATAAATAGAGGCAAAGTAGCAATCAGATAGAACCAAGTCAAACAAAATGGCAGTTTGGGACTTGGTTCACTGAAGTTGTTGCCAAAACATAGCACTGACTTCAACAACATCAGGATTGAACATTGCCTGATCTGTGCCAGTCCCTTAGAAGTAGTGATGGACCTACCACTGCAACCATACCATATTATGAATGTCATTTCAGTGTAAGGTAACAGTATATATGAACCGATCTGACTCAAATACCAGACGCAGCACACCTTATCGAAGTACTCTATATCATGAGCAACACCTTAATGCACAACAAAATGGACACAGCAGCAGCAAGTATCTAAATCCATCAAAGATAATAATTTAACTCAACCTGTTGTATTTGACACATGCATTACCATAGGTCTTTAAGGCACGTTTTTTGCATTTTCCGCTACTTCCACTGCTATTTAAAATGTGATAGTTAGACAAGTATGTCTGCAGAACTTCTACCTTTCTAATCCATGCTTGGGGACCACTGTTGGTCAGCTCATCCGAGGACAGTATCTGTGCTCCAGTACTTCCTGTGAACTGGCCAGGTATGGAGTTTGATTGAGCCCAGGCGTCAATCTACAAAATAAAAATCAAATGTAAGACCACAATAAAAATTTGCACATTTTTTCTCTGCAATTCTCTGTTGCTTCTCAGTAATTTTCATAATGATTCCTCACATATGTTCAGTGCTGTGTTGAATAACACTCATTTGCAAGCAGATGCTCCAAAAGCTAAGCATCTTTGTATGTTAACCCTAAAGCCTGAGCTCAAAGTCTAGCAAGTTTATGGTTGACTGTTCGCTCATCTTCAAAATCAGTGTGATGAAGTGCAAAATAAAGGCAGAATTTTAAAACATGCGCCCATAAACTGGGCTTCCAAAAACCTGTACTTAAATACATAAGAAAAATCAGCTGCCAGGAAGGGTAAACGTTTACTTGAAGTTCATCAAAATGCTCATGAAAGAAGTGCAACATACCTGTTCCTGTGCACGATTTAACATGCACATGGCCTCTAAATCAAATGTGTTTTCATTAAGCCTTTTCTGAGCCACTGCTCGATCATTCATAGCTGTAGTTATGTCCACGCCCTAGGAAGAAAAAGATTAATTTTAAAAATACATCAGACCACAATAATATCCATTCAATCTGGAAAAAGATGCTGTAGAATAAATGCTACAAATACTACAAAGTTATTTTACACATTGAATAGTTGTTTTTATATATAAATAGGCAACATGAAAAAAATCCTGGGAGTACTTGTGAAGTATATACAATATGGGCTTTCCTACAGAAATACAAAATCTGAAGTAAAGGTATAAGACCCTGATAATTTAATATCACCTGTACATACAAAATATCAAAAGAATTATCTTCAGAGAACTATTTTGGTCACAAAAAGTTCTGGTGTATAATACTTAAGTAGAGAAGCATATTATTGTTCAACGGAATCTTACTAACCAACAGAATGAAATGTAATTTAGCTAAGATTTTTTAAAAAAAACAAACCAAAAAGCCTTCATACAGAGCTGTTCAAATGAGCACCCTACTACTAAGTCACACTAAAACTTTGAAGTTATATGTATAAAAAAATTATAGCAAGAACAATGTGTATTCCATTAACTTGGTTTTAGTGTTTTACATCTGAATCTTCAGCCTAAAGCTTATTTGCATAAAAGTAAACCCAGGCTGGTAGCTCATAAAACTGACTGTTTTGGAAAGGATAATTTAGATCTGTGCTGCTGAACTAGAAAAAAATGTAAAGAAAAAGAAATTTGAAACTCTCTCACACATACTAATCATTTGGGTAAAAATATGGAGCAAATGAAGAAGCTCAGTGCAAAGCTCCACTGTGTGCAAAACAATCAAGAGAGAAATCCAAAAAACTTGGGAATATAAAGATGTAACAAATTATGGCTAGAATACAGCTCTTTTGTAAAATTACTTGTGCCTTGTTCTTCAGATGATGTGCATTTTATGCATCATTCTATTTTGAAAGCAGAAAAAGAACAGAGCTCAGAAACAAGTGAAATTTCTTTGGAGATGACCATGTGAAGGAGAATGAAAAGGCCAGAACTGTTCGAAGCACAGAAGAAACCCAATAATTAAAACAGCAGGTGGCATACAGACATAAAGTTGATGGTTAATTTTTTTTTTTTATCTGTATTGCAAAAGACTTGTATCTTTTCCTAGTCACTGTGTCATCAACTTAGCCTCTCAAACTATACTAGAATAAAGGGCCAATAGAAGAAACTGAAACTAATTTAAAATTGACTCTGCTGAACAGAAAAATAGTTAATCCACAAAATCCCTGTCATAGGAACCAGGTCAAGAATTTAGTAAATACTGAAAAACAGTAAGAGACAGACATAAATGTCTACAATTGCACAAAATGGAGTAATTATTTTTATACTCTGGCTATTAAATCTTATTTTAAGATGGGGGATTTTTTTTACTGTTTATGACAAAAGGGATTTCCATTGGCAAGTTCATTACTGAAACACCTGGCACTGACCAAGACAGACTTAAAATCCCAGAAGTCCTATGCATCTACAAAACAGACTTCAGTGTTTATTTATTGTCCCAGCTGACAAAAACACAGGTCATAAACAAGGCACAAGAAGAATTAAAATATTTTCCAACAATCACCTAGCATAACAGTCATGTATTTAGAAAAATGTCTGTTTACAATGTACACTTTCTTGTGTTAATAAGTTCCCCTTACATATTTAGAATAATTCTTTCAGGTTTTGTTTGAGAGACTGGTTCAGGAGATAAATAAAAGTTATTCTACTCACCAAAAGCTTCAATCCAGCAATACACATAGGCATGCAAGTAGTCCACTGAAACCACATTGGGACCACTCACATACTTAAACATACATGTGTACTTTAGTGCTTTACCGGACTGGGGCCTATTAGTAGATACCCTGGTTAGTTAGAATTCCCATACACTTTCCCCACATGGTCAGTCACCATTTTGGAGACCATCATGGCTTTGTATTATGTCAAGACACTCGATGGCAGCTTTGGATCTTGAAAAAAAAAAAATATCTGTGCTTGAAGTATGAAAAGTTATTATTTAGTCAAGTAAAACAATTTCAAGTTCAGCATGCTACTCTCTCAGTAAGAGTTCTGCCTTTCCAATCCTGACTTCTAATAACATTTGTCCCCACAGACACAAGTCACAAATATCGAAGAAGACACCGACAATAGCAAGCAGGCACTTCTGACGTACTTCGTAGGTCCACCGATACACCAAATGCGTTTACTACATTTTCAGATCACGACAGCTTCTCTGCATAATGTCACTCCAAACTTAAATACAACACTTGACATTTTCAGATCACGACAGCTTCTCTGCATAATAGTCACCTGTGTATACTCCAAACTTAAATACAACACTTCAACTCGATACATTCAAACTTTCAAATACAGCTTCTTTCTCACATGCTTCTCTAGCTTATAGAGACTGCTGATACTTCAGATTACTCAAGACTTTTTCCTCCATCCCCTACCACCACAAATAACTATATTAAGAGCATGTTTTATTAAAACAATTCATAATATATTAGCAGGGCCATTTCAGATTGCTTATTCCCGTAACTAATTCTGTGACTTGAATAAAAAAACATAACAATAAAAACAATTATGTATTTTTTAATGTCAGTATAGACTTGCATCAGAATTGTCACAATCAGATTTCAAAATGAGCAACAATGAATGGAGGTAAATTATATGTCAAACTTCCTGAGGATCCAAGCACACTCCCCCACTACCCTACACCAACAGCAAGGGAGCTTATGTGGCTTATTTTGCTCAAAGGAAGCCATTTCATCCACAAGAGTCCTCATACGCATTTAAAAAAGTAAGCAGGGAAGCACTCTGTTACCTTTCAGACTCCCTGGCAAAATATACAGGCATTCTGCTACTGCAAGAGTATTCCTGTGTTTCAAAATTAAGGATTGCCAAACCCAAGGGGATGGTAATGCTCTGCTGTCAGCTAATGACCCTCGAAATCACCCTTAACACAAACCAAGTTAAGGTAAATGCAAATAAAAATATTTATTTACAAAATATAAAAACAGACAACATTGTTACAAGCATTTATAAAGATACACGTGACAGAAAGTAAGTTATGGTTAATATATTTACTCCAATGTCAATTTTTAAGGCCTCTTCTACATAATCAATACACAAACCATCAGTGCTTAGCTAACCCAATTTGTCAGACACAAGCCTAGCGTCACCAGGATGCAGACATCTACAGAGCTCTCCTGAACTACGAGCATATCATTAACTATCTGAAGACTTTTTACCACCTGGTAAAAGCATGGCCAATTGTCAGTATACAATGTTTCTACACTTTGGACTTTTTACATATACACTAGTAACTGGGAATGACATTCTGCACAAACATTTTAGAATGTTTGTCTTAGTGGTTCATGACAAAGACCAAACAGCCGTTACCAGCTACACTGAGGGAACAATGAACTGGGTTGCCTGACTGTGAAACTCTGAGGTATACCCTGAAAATGTCTGTTGAATGAGTTAGATTCACTGTGCTTTTGGTGCTGTAAAGGACACAGAAGAAAATACCTTCTGTGCTTCAGGAACTGAATTGTACAGTCTTAGAACATCCTTGAAAAACAAAACGTACAAGTGGAAAGATTGTTTCATCAGAAATTGATGCCAAGGCTTTTTTGTTTATTTGCTTTGAAAGGTATGAGAACAAGTCTTCAGACGGAGTGAGGTTAACATCAACTTGAAAGAAATTTACATCTGCCTTAAATATTTAATTTACTTAATTACAAAAACCCCACAAAATATCCTTTTGAAGACATTTCAAGGGAAAAACATTCGGTTTTTTTCTTTTCTTTTTAGTTTATTATACACACAATTAGATTTTCCTTTGGAAGGCCACATGGAAGACAACTATGTAACAAAATGTGACTGTAAAGCTAAAAAATTACTAGACACATCCAGATGAAATGGCAGTTTTAGAAACTACTTTCAAATCTATTTTTAATGGATTACATTTCAATGCAATGTTATTGCTCTAAGACTGGAAAGACAATTTTAACTATTATTCAATTTATAATTACAAAAGTCTCAACTCAACTCTGCAGGAACCTGGACAAGGAACTCGCTGTTCATCTTCAAGCAAAAGTTTAAATTCTATTGAGACAAAGAAGTCACTAGTTGACAAAAGCACACAGTACAGTACAGAACACAGTACAGGTGGCTTTCATCATTACCCACATGAGCATGGCAACCAAATTTGAAGACCCCAGCAGTTCAGATAATGAGCTTATTGAAGTGTTAGATACTACCTATGTAAGCGTTTTTTTTTCACAGACTGCAGTTTGGTACCAGACTGACCAGGTGCTGGTTTTGGTTTTCTTATATGATATGCTTTCCTTCCCTTCCTTACCTCAATGGATGGTTTGGGGAAAACATCATCCTTGCCGTCTTCTTTGCCTTTTTCAACTGGAACCCATTCTCCATAGACACTATCTGCTTCTTTTTTTCTATGTTGAGACCCAGATGAAACAGGAAATTCCTTTGACAGGCTGACCTGATTTTTTGGTTGTGGTGGTGGTGCTGGTTTTATGCTGGGAGTCTTAAAGAAACAGAATTAGAAAAAGTCAAAAACTTGAACACACACAATACTCACATCTTTGAGAAACGATTTATTGCATAGACTTGGTACTAAGTTCTCAAAAAACAGTCATTCTTCTTACTAACATCAAACTGAAAGCCTTTATAACAAATCATTTTAGTACAGCCCTAAAAACACACAATTGAGCAATAAATTGCAGTATAGAAGATGAAACAGCTGGAAGCTAAAAAAAAAAAAAAAAATTTCACTTAAATCAGCTGCAGAAGCCATAAACATGCAAAACCTCACTCTGAAAATTAACCTCCCTGCTTTCCCTCTACCCCATCACAATCTTAATCTGCCACACATGCATTTTGTAAAGGAAAGCACCAAAATAAAAATCACGGGCAGCAAAAAACATTAGCTGTGATATCCACATGATGCTAAAAACTCTACATTACTATACATAGAGAAAGCAGTTTTCAACATTTTGGTTTCTAATTTTTGATTATTTTTTAATAGCAGCATAAATCTCAAAGTAAATTAAGTCTATGAGCTTCTGTTGCTTAGAAAGTATTGCTAATTTATTAAGAGTCCACAGAAATCTGACAGGTTCCCCTTCTAAGAGGTGAACAGAACCCAGAGAGCTAACAATATTGGGTAAACTCCTATTATCAAAGGAAGATGGATGGGAATGACAGCAAGACAATAATCCATAAAGAATGGAAAGAATGATACTAAAAGGATCGAAAACTGTGGAAAATGGCAGAGCAGCCCATAACCACGAAAGAACATTCCTCTTTAGAGCCTGTACGGAATCCCAAGGTTTCTTGAGTTTCATTGTACCACTTTCTAATGGTTCAATATAAACTATAAATCTATTTCTATCTTACAAATCATGTAAATGTGTATTACGGCTTATTTTGTATATGCCACAAGCTATATATTGTTGTAAATAAAAATATAAATGCTATTTATATTTTCACTTAGCATATTAATACTTTTATAGTACTTTATACTCTGCAAAATCAGAGCAGACTTTCATGGGCACAAAACACCCACACCCACCCGCCACCCCACCCCCCCCCAAAAAAAAGCCCTATACAAATTCTAATCTGTTCTTCAAAGCATATGAATCACAGATCCATTTAAAGAAATGCTCCCTCATTTTATTCCTTCCAACATGCTCATACCCAGAAAGCACCAATACAAACTCTGACACAGTCAAAACCAGCCCCCAAAAGGAGGGGGTTTAATAGGACATTAAGACCCTCTTAGTAACAGACATCATCAGTGATTCTCGTTCTTAACACACCATTTACTTCTCTGTTGGCTAATCTCAAAATAACAGAACTTTTTTTCCCTCTTAGCGAATACTTGAGATCTACTGAAGAAGCAGACATGCAAGATTTGGAGTTTGCATAAAGCTGATGGCATCAGCTCATTTACAACACCTCAAAACACTTTTAGAATTTTGCTAGGGGGTTTTGTTTGTCTTTTAAAGAAAAACAATGCTGTTCCAAAAGCATATCCCAATTCCAACACTGTTTGTAAATTCATACTGATATTTTTGCAATGAAAACATGAAGTAAAAACAATCCTCTTTACATTATTTAAGCTTTAAAAGCTGCAAAGACATTAATGAAAAAAAAAAATAAACCCGTTTCAATCCAATAACGGGGACTACCACAATTTCATAGACTGCAGCTAAGTTTCTTATTGTAGCAACAGTACTTTTAACAACATCCCAGTGCAATTTCACCATGATTATCAATCCCTATTTAATGTCTGTAAAGTTACGTGCATTATTTAAAAACAACCACAATTTAAAATATCGAAAATTAAAGAAGTACTCACACTTAAATTGAAAAAAATAGGTTTGGGTTCACTGAGTTTAAAAGGATGATTATAGAAAGGACGTTCTTCCTCCTCTTCATCAGAAACATGAGGTTTGTTCACTATCACATCATCTGTGCTTTGAGCAATCTTCTTGCATTTCTAAAACAAACAAAAAAAAAAAAGGCATGACAACCCAGACTTTGAACCAAAACATACAAAAAGAGCATTTTTATAAGACTGTTCTTCTTTTCTAAAGCAGGAGGTATAATCTGAGAAAGTCTTTCAGCAGTGTCATCAATATATGTACTTTTGACATTTTATGCACATTATCAAACACCTACCTAGGTTTGCTAGGCACTCATGCAGTGAATAATTCTACAGACATAACATTTCAGCAGCATACGGTAAAGCTTACTACACAGTGCTAGTTGCAGAATGTGTGGCTAAGGCTGCAAACATTCCAGAGTAGGAACTCACTGGTTGGTTGGCATCCCACATAACTAACACACTGCAATCTGATAGAAACTTCAGTATAAGTCACAAAACTACTACACAGAAAAACTAAAGAATTAATAGTTACTAATTCTAAGTTCCACTGGTAGTGAAGGGACATACGTCAGAAACAATGGCTCCAAATGATCTCAGATTTCTTCTGAAATACTTTGATGTTGGCCAGGTACGCAAGATACCCCATTTTATATTCAACTTCTGTTGAATATAAAACACATAGGTGCTATGGGGATACTGCAGTCAAATGGGAAGAGAACCTTGGGGGGGCGGGCAGACATTCCGGAAAGGCTAGAATTGTACGATGGAAAAACTCTTAACCATGTGGTTATCTACACTGAGTGTTTATCAGCAGCAACTATAACTTAGTCAATCCAAAATGCATTTGAGAACGTTATAGTCTAATATCATGCTTCTATTATGTCCCCATTCATGAAAAGTACTCTTAGAAGACTTACAAAACATTTGAGGACATAACATTTGAGGAAATACCAGCAAAGTGAAGCCATCATCTGATTTGATTCTAGTTCAAGTTCGTATCATTGTAAGTCACACCTGTTTAATGACCTGATTGTTGGCATGTAAGGAGCAAACAGGCAGCTCCATCACTAAAAACCAAGGCACACAGTCGGCACTGTTCTCATCAGTCCTTACAATAAAAGACTCCTGCACTCTCCTGTGCTAAGACGCCTCCAATGACTGAAGCACATTCTTTAGGCAACAGGAAAAGCCTGCACTATTTGGAAAGCTAATCAACAAAATATATTATCTGCAGTTATTAGCTGGCTCCCAACTAATTGGAAGCAGTTTGTCCAGTTTGCAGGTTACATTGCAGAGAAGAAGCAACCCACTGAGCTTTGCAAGAAGCTCAACAGGCTCTGGAAGGGTTCTCCACTTGGGCACACTATCATACGATGATGGCCTGGACTGCTTCTGTGGCCAGTTTTGCTTCAATAGAACAGGAACATGATCCAACAGGTACTCACAGAAAGGGCAAGGAAGGGGCAGGTTTGGGGCTTCCAGATTAGCACTAGCTACACCGGATCTTGGTCAGGTTACATGAAGAGCCACTTAAAATGTCTGCACAATCTCATTTATTTTACTAACAAGTAGTTCTCCTTCCACTAGCCCATGTATAACTAAGGGATTACTTTTCAGCAATTTGACATTGATTAATTTCAGATGTTATTTCCATAGACTTAAACTTCAGAGCTGTCACACTTATGGTGTAATTAAAAACAAAACAAAAAAACACAAACCGAACCACTTATTTTTTCCATTCCAAATTTTCCCTAGTTTCTGGGGAAAAAAAACTTAGGGGAAAATTAGCAAATTGAACAAGGTAACATTACTACAGTAAAAGGGCAAGTAGCAATTTTTCCCCCGTAATCAGAAAGAAAACATCCCATTTGTAGACTCAAACTGCAACAATAATCTTAGAGTGCATATTAAAATACACAAAACTACATGAAGCGAGCACTAGATTTTTAACCCAGAGATAACTTTTAGCAACATGAAATTCACTAACAAAATTAAGAACATGAATAACTAACATGTCACTAGAACCAAAAACTAGAAAGGAAAGTTTTGGGTTTTATTAACAAGACTGCAAGAACTACCAATTTGTACAAAATTAGAACAGAATCAAAACAAGCAAAAAAAAAAAAAAAGCAGCAAAATAATTGGATTTCATACATTTCCATGGAATTAAAGAGCCTGTTTTCATGACTTAAAAAAAAAACAGCATAGTGAATAAGGGCTCAAACCACAAGCCAGCTTACACGTCCATCAAGCACACAGAATGAGAGCTTGCCTAGAAGTCATAAAACCCCAATTTGCTTATTTTCACGTTTCATACAGTTGTTCTCGCTTACCTCAGTGAGCTCCTTTAGCGTATCTCTTGATGACTTCTGATTGGCTTTGTCGTCTTTCTTTTGAGATAACAAAGGCATCAGGCTTGGTGGTAAGGGAACACCAGACTTAGCACACATCGCAGCTGCATTAGCTTTGGCTATTTCAAGTAGCTGGGCCTTGTCTAAAAAAAAATTTATTTTTTTTTTTAAAAGAAAAAACAAGAATCTAAAAATAACAATTTAGGAATAAATAAGCAATTCTGGCAGACTAAAAAAAGTACAAAAAGAAAACACAGTATTTTACCCACACTGTGCATTTTTATGTTCTGTGAAAATAACTAAAAATTGTACTTAGTTGCTCTGGACTTTTTTTAAATTTGGTCTGCCCAACAGATAAGTTAAATTGCAAATTTAACACAAAGCATGGGAGTCCAAACTACAGCACTCAAAATCCTTCAAACCCCAGAAGTTCTGATGCCTGTTTTACTTCACTGATTCATTCTAGTTTTGGAAATACTGGGTCATTTCTACACAGCATAAATTCCAAAGCCTAATTCCTAGCTATCTCTGAAAAGCATTCAAAGGTGTTGAAGAAGTCCCCTCAAGTCCCCCAGTACTTAGCCTGAAAGCTACTTACAACAGAGTAAGCACTGAATAAAATGTGTATTTGCGTAAAATACAATTACACACAAAACTGTTAATAAAACAGTATTTTGCTTTACTAAGGAAAAAAGTGCATATGGCCCTGTATTGGGTTTGCGTGGCAAGGTTTTGGTAGCAGGGGCGGCTATTGAGGTGGCTTCTGTGAGAAGCTGCCAGAAGCTTTCCCTGTGTCTGATATAGCCAATGCCAGCTGGCTCCAAGGGAGACCATTGGCCAAGGCTGAGCCCATCAGCAACGGTGGTAGCACCTCCGGGATAACGTATTTAAGAAGGGAAAAAAACAGCTGCGCAACAGCAGCCACAAAGAGAAGAGTGAGGGGATGTGAGAGGAACAGCCCTGCAGGCACCAAGGTCAATGAAGAAGGAGGGGGAGGAGGTGCTCCAGGCACTAGAGCAGATTCCCCTGAAGCCCAAGGTGAAGCCCATGGTGAGGCAGGCTGTCCCCCTGCAGCCCATGGAGGCCCACAGTGGAGCAGATACCCACCCACAGCCTGGGGAGGACCCCACGCCAGAGCAGGTGGATGCCCAAAGGAGACTGTGACCCTGTGGGAAGCCTGCGCTGGAGCAGGCTCCTGGCAAGGACCTGTGGAACCATGCAGAGAGGAGCCCGCACTTGTGACCCCACAGGGGACCCACACTGGAGCAGTTCATGAAGAACTGTAGCCTGTGGGAAGGACCCTCACTGGAGAAGTTCATGGAGGACTGTATCCTGTGAGAGGGATCCCATGCTGGAGCAGGCGAAGAGGGTGAGGAGTCCTTCCCCTGAGGAGGAAGGAGCGGCAGAAACAACATACAATGAACTGACCGCAACCCCCATTTCCCTGTGCCACTCTGAGGGAAGAGGTAAAGAAAATCGGGAGTAAAGTTAAAGTTAAGCCCAGGAAGAAGGGAGGGGTGGGGCGAAGGTGTTTGGGGGTTTTTTCTCTCCTACGCTGATCTGACTGGTAATAAATTAAACTAATTTCCCCAAGCAGAGCCTGTTTTACCCATGACAATAACCGGCCAACAATCTCTCCCTGCCCTTATCTCAACCCACAAGCCTTTCAATATATTTTCTCTCGCCTGCCCAGCTGAGGAGAGGAGTGACAGAGCAGCTTGGTGGCACCTGGCATCCAGCTAAGGTCAACCCGTCACAGGCCCTATCACAGAAATAGAGAATAGGTCCCTTCCAACCCTTGCCATTCTGTGATTCTGTGGAATGAAAATAAAGTACACCTTATTTGATCTGCCAGTTTGCAAATAAATGAGTTACAACTATCTCTGCAAGCAAACAGCTTTATAAAAATCCTAGGACAATATTCCTTTACTTCTTCAGCAACAGAAGTATACAGATACAGACTTGCTGCATAATCAGACCATGAAGGCAGATTCAAGGATGCTCATTAATTCTCATGTTCTGTACAAAAATAATTCTCTGGTCAAGGGGCCTCCACGGTAACTTTATGAGACAGGACTAAAAGGATCAGAACCTGAGGTCCACAAAAGGAGGCTTCCACACTGTACAAAAGCTCATCTCTCAAAATTAAAACCTTTCTCCTTACATAACTTACTACTTAAGAGAACTACAAGGCCTCTCTTCCTCCAGTCACAGAGAAGAGACACGGTTCATTAGGTTTGGGGTTGGTTCTTTTTTTTTTTTCCTCTTATCAGCTGGGTCTGGGAATATTTTCAGAAACAAGTCTCTCTTCCCATTAAATTCTTACCAGGGAAGAGAGGCAAGACAGAGTAACAGAGATAAACAAGCATTACAGCTGACAACAGAGCTAAGACCTCTCCAACTGGCACTTACTTTCAAATGTTCTTTCATGCCTAATTTGTCCTCAGGAAAACCAGAAATTCATAACTTTCTTACAGAGTACTTGGCCTGTACTAACCATTGCAATGAACAGTGTTCCTCAAGACTGCAACGTACTACCTTTGTATAAAAGCCCTATAACCAAGATAACAACCTGCTCTAAATACCCTTTCATCCATACGGTAAGCATTGATTCAGCTCCAACATAAAAGCTCCTACTGGAAGTCACTGCCTAAAAGCAGTGCACAAAATGACTTCCAAGGAATTCCTCATGAATGCTACAGAGATATGTTAAAATAAGACTATTTGAATGAACACAGTATCAACTAACCATGGAACTACTGAAAATAAAATTATCACTTACCCAAGTCTGTAAGACGTTTAGGTGACCTGCTTGAAAATCGTTCTGATGACCTTGACCGACGACGATCGGGTGATCTGCTGTACCTTCTTCTCCCTGAAGATCTTGATCGCCGTAGTCGAATTGGTGACCTACTAGAGCTCCGTCGTCTTCCTCTTGATCTTGATCGCCTTTGACGAATAGGTGTTCGACTCCTGCTCCGTAATCTGAGTGATATTCTACGATCTCTTGAATCTGATCTTCTTCTTCTTCTGTCAGTAGATCTTGATCTATTTCTCTGAGATCTCTTACGTCTGTCTCTTGATAAAGAACGCCGCCTCCTTGATGCTGACCTTGACCTACTCCTCCGTCTGTGCCTTGAACGTGACAATGAGCTAGAACGAGAGCGACGATTAGATTTTGATCTTGATGCTCTTCTCCGTGTTACTGATCTAGAGCGATTCCGTCTAGAGCGAGATTCTGTATCGTATCTCTGGGATCTGCGCTGAGAAGACCTGGAGCGTCTGCTTCTAGACCTCCGTGAAGATTCTTTGTCTGCTGTTTTTTCAACAGATTTGGATCGACTCCTTTGGCGAGCAGTGGACCTGGAGCGTCTACGTCTAGACCTCCGCGAAGACTCTTTGTCTGCTGCTTTTTCAACAGATGTGGATCGACTCCTTTGGTGAGCAGTGGACCTGGAGCGTCTACGTCTAGACCTCCGCGAAGACTCTTTGTCTGCTGCTTTTTCAACAGATGTGGATCTACTTTTCTGGTGAGCAGTAGACCTGGAACGTCTACGTCTGGATCTCCGGGAAGACTCTTTGTCTGCCACTTTTTCAACAGATGTGGATCGACTCTTTTGGAGAGTAGGAGATTTTGAGGGTCTGCTTATAGATCTCCGCGAAGACTCTCTGTCAGACATTTTGTCAACAGATTTGGATCTAGATTTTTCACGTTCAGAAGACTCAGAACGCCTACTTTCGGGTATAAAGGAAGAGTCCTGTTCCTCCGACCTCTCAAGAGGCATGGAATCCTGTTTATCGTCATCTCCCAGAGAGGGCTCCACATCCTCACCCTCTTCACCAGTGGTAGACCTTGACTCACGCTCATCTGACGATGTGGAGTCTCTTCGTTCAGCTGTCAAGGAGGGCTCCACATCATCTCCTTCTTCACCAGTGGTAGACCTTGATTCACGCCCATCAGGGGATGTGGAACGTCTATGTTCAGTTGTCAGGGAGGGTTCCACATCTTCTCCTTCTTCACCAGTGGTGGACCTTGACTCATGCTCATCCGATGATGTGGAATCTCTTCGTTCAGCTGTCAAGGAGGGTTCCATATCCTCCATGTCTTCACCAGTGGTAGACCTCGACTCATGTTCGTCTGAGGATGTGGAGTGTCTACGTTCAGCTGTCAAAGAGAGCTCCCGGTCCTCTGCTTCTTCACCAGTGGTTGACCTTGACTCACGTCCATCAGGAGACACGGAGCGTCTATGTTCAGCTGTCAAAGAAGGTTCCAAATCTTCTATTTCTTCGCCAGTTGTAGACCTTGACTCACGGTCATCAGAGGATGTGGAGTGTCTGCGTTCAGCTGTCAAAGAGGGCTCCCCATCTTCTATATCTTCACCAGTGGTAGACCTCGACTCATGCTCGTCAGAGGATGTGGAATCTCTTCGTTCAGCTGTCAAGGAGCGTTCTGCATCCTCTGCCTCTTCCCCAGTGGTAGATCTTGACTCATGCTCATCAGAAGACACTGAGCATCTACGTTCTGTTGTCAAAGGCTGCTCCAGATACTCCGCTTCTTCACCAATGCTAGATCTTGACTCATGCTCGTCAGGGGATGTGGACCGCCTGTGTTCAGATGTCAAAGAAGGCTCCAGATCATCCATTTCTTCATCTATGGTGGATTTCTGGTCATGGCCCTCAGGGGACACAGACCGTCTATGTTCAGAAGTCAAAGAGGACTCCAGACCCTCTTCCTCCATGGGAGATTTCAGCTCATGACCTTCCTGATATGAGGATACAGAATGTCTACGTTCGGATATCAAAAAGGGCTCTAGATCCCCTGTTTCTTCAGCAGGGCCAGATTTCACACTGTAGCCGTCAGGGGACATGGAGCACCCACTTTCAGGCATTAAAGAAGGTGTTGCATCATCTGTTTTTTCAACAGGGATAGATTTCAAGTCACTGTCATCAGGGGACATGGAGGATCTATCGTTTAGTGTCAAAGGTTCGAGATCACTTACTTTTCCAACAGTGTGGAATCTCAACTCCTGGCCGTCAGGGGATGCTGCATGTTCATTTTCGGGTGCTGGAGAAAGGTCCTGCGCATCTGCTTTTTGAACAGGGGTGAATCTTACCTCCTGGCTCTCGAAAGACAAACGATGGTCATTTTCAGATGTCAAAAAATCCACATCCTCAGTTTTCTCAGCATGAGGCAATCTTGATTCATATTCTTCAGGTGACAAAGCATGTTCATTTTCAGATGTCAGAGAAGGTTCCTTAGCCTCTACTTTTTCAGCAGGGCTAGACTGCGGCTCCTGACCTTCAGGGGACATGGCACATTCACCTTCAGACAAAGACAACTCCTGCACCTCTGTTTTTTCAACAACAGTAGACTGCAGCTCCTGGCTATCACTGGACATTGAACTTTCACTTTCAGATGTTTCAGAAGGTTCCTCCATTTCTTCTTTTTCAACAGGACTGGATCGCAAATCATGGCCTTCAGGGGATACCTCATACTCATTTTCAGACAGCAAAGAACACTCCTGCACCTCTGTTTTTTCACTAAGAGCAGAGAGCATCTCCTGCCCTTTGGGGGATGCAGCATATTGACTACCTGGTATTAGTGAAGTCTCCTGCACCACTGTTTTTTCATCAAGGCTAGACTGTAATCCTTGGCCTTCAGGAAAGATGGTGTATTCACTATCAGATGTCAGAGAAGGCTCCTGCACCTCTTTTTCAGCAGGGCTGGTTGTCATCTGGCCCTCAGGCGATACAGCATATTCATTTTCAGACAGCAGAGAACACTCCTGTACGTCTGTTTTTTCAGCAAGGGAAGATGGCAATTCATGATCTTCAGAAGACACAGCATATTCATTGTCAGGTACTACAGAAGCCTCCTGCATCTCTACCTTTTCAGGAGAGCTAGATCTCAACTCCTGGCCCTCCCAAGATATAGCATATTCATTTTCAGACACCAGAGCAGGCTCTTGCACTATCTTTTCAACAGCAGGTGACTGCAACTCCTGACTCTCGATGGACACAGAACACCTTTCTTCAGACACCCGATAAAGTTCCCGCATGTCTCTTTTTTCAGCAGGGGTTGAAGTCAACTCCGGGCCATCAAGCTCTATTGTGTATTCATTTTCAGACATTTGAGAAGGCTCCTCTACCTCAACTTTTTCAAAAGGGGTGGATGTCAACTCATGACCATGAGAGGAAACAGAACATCTGCTTTCCAGTATCAGAGGTGCCTCCTGCACCTGTATTTCTTCATCATAGGTAGATCTCAACTTGTGGTCATCAGGGGATACAACGCATTTCAGTTCAGATGACTTTTGCACCTCTACTTTTTCAGCCTGGATAGGTCTCAATTCATGACTATCAGACAACAGGAGAAGCCCACCTTCAGATGTCAGAGAAGTCACTGGGGCCTGTAGTTTCTCAGTAGGTGTGCTTATTGATTCACAGACATCAGCAGACTTGGAGAATCCACTTTCCAGCGGAAGAAGAGGCTTCTGTAGCTCCATTTTTTCAGCTGCAGTGGGTGTCAATTCATAGCCTTCAGGGAAGACAGAACACCTAAGCTCAGATGCCAATGAAAGTTCTGCACCTTCTGTTTTCTCAAAATAATTGTGTTTCAATATATGGCCATCATGGCACACAGGAATTCCACTTTTAGACATCAAGTAAGATCCTGTACCCTCTATTTTTCCAGCAGCCAGGTACCTCGACTCATGCACTTCAGAAGATTCAGAGCAGTCAATTTCAAGTACTTGTGGAAGTGTTGGACCGTCTAAATCTCCATCAACAGATGATCTGGACTCATGAGCTTCAGAAGATTTGCAGCTTTGTCCTACAGTTGTCAGTACAACTTCACCCATTTTTTCAAAAGATGACGCTGAAATGAGGTCATCTGACATCTCAACAGGACCACACTCAGATGTCAGGGAAACATCTGGGGCCTTGACTTTTTCAACAGATAAAGATCTTTGTTCATTTCTATCAGGTGACTTGAAGGACCCACCTTCAGACATCAACGGAAGCTCCCCTATTTGTGCAGCAAAGCTGGATCCTGATTCATGTCCATCAGGCTCCTGCATCTGGCCCTTTTCAACAGGCAAGGAGGCTGACTTACAGACATCAGGGAATGCAGAGCATGTAACTTCAGGTGCTAGGAAAGATTCCTGAGCCTCTGCTGTTTCAGAAGATAGCGACCTTGTCTCAAGGCTGTCAGCCAACTTGGAAGATTCACTTTGAGGTACTTGCAAAAAATTCTGAAGCTCTGTTTTTTCAACAGGGGTATGTCTCAATTCATGACCACCAGACAAGTCAGAGAGCACACTTTCAGACATCAGAGAAAACCCCTGATCCTCTGTTTTTTCAGAGGATGAGGAGATTGTCCTGTAATTATCCGAAGATATAGAGCATCCACTTTCAAGTGTCAGAAGAGGCTCTGGACCCTCTATTTCTTTGAGAGAGGTAGATCTTGGCTCATCATGGGATGCAGAGAGATGAAATTCTGTTACTGAAGAAGTTTCTGGATCTCCCATTTTTTCAACAGATGAGGATCTTGACTTGGATGTGGAGTATGTAAGTTCATGTAGTGATGAAGACTCCATGGCCACTGCTTTTTCAGCTGATTCATTTTCAGGTGTCACAGAAAGCTCTGAAGCCTGTGTTTTTTCCACAGACATGGATCTCAACTCCTGGTCATCTGGGATTTTGGAGCTATCAACTTCAGACAGCACAGAAGGCTGCAGATCTGCTGTTTTTTCAAGAGATGAGGAGCTTTTCTCAGGACTCTCAGAAGTTTTGGAAAATCCACTTTCAGATGCTGGCAGCAGCTCTGGGCCATTTATTCTTTCAACAGACAAAGCTACTGACATGGGACCATTAGAGGATTTGGAGGAGCTGCCTTCACTTGCGAAAGAAGGTTCAGAAACTCCTACTTTTTCAAGACATTTGGTTGACTCCTGAAGTTCAGAAGACTCCACATGCTTGCTACTACTCTGTACTGAGGATAACTTACTCTCTCTTTTTTCTACAGATTTGGACCTTGACTTAACACTATCAGAGGACTTGGAACGTTTCCGTTTGGATTTTTTAGAAGATTCCTTGCGCTTTTTTTCAACAGACCTAGACCTAGACTTGTAATGTTCAGAAGATTTTGAGCGACGACGCTTAGATTTTCGTGAGGACTCCTTCTTTTTTTCCACTGACTTGGATCTAGACTTGTAACGGTCAGAGGACTTTGAGCGCTGACGTTTAGACTTCCGCGATGATTGCTTTCGATCTCTTTTTTCTACTGATCTGGATCTAGACTTGTAACAGTCAGAGGACTTTGAGCGCTGACGTTTAGACCTCCGCAGAGATGCCTTCCGACCTCTCTTCTCAACAGATCTTGACCTCGATTTCGAACGATCAGAAGAACCAGACCCCCTGTGTCTGAACCTCCATGAGTATTCTTTACCCCCTCTCTTTTCTGAAGACCTGGATCTAGATTTAGAACGGTCAGAGGACCTGGAACGTCTGCGGCGGGATCTCCAGGAAGACAACCTGCTCCCCCTCTTTTCCACTGACCGTGATTTAGACCTGTAGCGGTCAGATGACCTGGAACGTCTGCGCCCAGACCTTCGAGAGGACAGTCGCTTTTCCACTGACCTGGACTTAGACCTGTAGCGGTCAGAAGACCTGGAACGTCTGCGCCCGGACCTTCGAGAGGACAGTCGCTTTTCCACTGACCTGGACTTAGACCTGTAGCGGTCAGAAGACCTGGAACGTCTACGTCTGGACCTTCGGGAGGACAGTCGCTTTTCCACTGATCTGGATTTAGACCTGTAGTGGTCAGATGACCTGGAACGTCTACGTCTGGACCTCCCAGAGGACAATCTGCTCCCTCTCTTTTCTGCTGATCTGGACTTAGACCTGTAACGGTCAGACGATCTGGAGCGTCTGCGTCTGGACCTCCGGGAAGACACTCTTCTCTCTCTCTTCTCCACAGATCGGGATCTAGATTTGGAATGCTTTTTTCTGGAAACCGAATAGTTTCTGCTCCTAGAACGTGCTCTTTTAGAGGTCAAACGCCTGGAAGTAGAACGAGACCTTGATTTTTTCTTCCGCTTCCTCGACCTGGACTGAGACTTGGAGCGACTCCTTTTTTGTTTCTTTGCATCGTGTTTTTTATCACTGCTCCTATGGCTACTTTTTTCAACAACTTTCTCGAGTCTCATCAGAGTCTCCCTCATTCGTGCTGCCACATCAGGTTGCACATCGGATGTTTCTGAATCTCTTTTCTCTGACTCCCGTTCTGGAGTTGCTTCTCTGACAGCCTCAGCCTCTGGAACGACTTCTGACTGGCTTGCCTCTGCCACACCTTCTGTAACAGTCTCAGGTACTGGAGCTGCTTCCAAATCTTTTGCCTCTGGCTCCAGCCCCACAGCTGCTTCTGCATCTTTCAGCTCTACAACGATCTCAGGAACAGAAGCTGTTTCCAAATCTTTTGCTTCTGCCACATGAGCTGGAGCCGCTTCCAACTGGTTTGTGTCTCCAATTATTTCAGATTCAGGAGTCCCTGCTGCATCTTTTTCATCTGCTGCATGTGAAGAACTAAAAACTGTTCCCGGTACTAAAGGTTCAGATGCTTGAATTTGCTCTGCATCTTTCTTCTCAACCAGTATCTCGCATTCCTGAGCTTGACTTGGAACTCTGACATCTTCTATTTGTTGACCCTGCACCCCTTCTGCATATTGTACTTCTGCTGCCACTTCATGTTCCAGTGTTGTTTCCAGATCTTTCATGTCCCCTGGTTTTGGAACTGCTTCAGACTTCATTTCAGCAGCGCTCAACATTTCTGGAGCCTCTTCTGTACTCTTCCATTCTGCAGCAGGTTTTGCTTCTAGAACTGCTTGCAGATATTCTTGCTTTTCAGTGTGCAAAGAATCTGGAACAGCTTCTGAAGCATCCTCTAAAACATTCATTGCCCCCACATTTCCAGAGTTCTGGGAAGTTCCCAAGCCTTGGACATCCATGTGCACCTCAGGCTCTTCGACTGTTTCAGAACCTTTCACCTCTACTGTTGCAGACTCTTTCATGCTTTCCAGCAACGTCGCTTCTCTAGCTTCTGATGCTGGCTCCAAATATTTTCCTTTCATTGCTTTATCAGTTTCTGAAGCTTCTTCCAAGTCTTTTACATTGATAAGCGAGGGCTCGTTTTTTCTCGTGGTTGTCCTCCTTGTTGCAATTATGTATTCTACAGTAGGTCCCTGAGTTCTCACATCTGTTGTAATTTTAGATTCTGAAGTTCCTTTCAAGTTTCTCACTTCTGTCACTATTTCTGATGCCACAGTTTTTTCTTCCGCTCTGGGCAAAGACTCTAATACTGCTTCTGAATGACCTACTATTTGTTCCCGTACAGACTTTGAACTTGTTTCTAAAGTTTGCACCGTCACTGCTTGCACAGGTTCTAGTATTGCTTCTTTGCTCCTTGCCTTTGCTTTGTCTGGATCTTCTGGAGCAACTTCAGAATGCCTCATTTCTCTAACCATCTCAGATGCCAATGTCCTTCCTGAGTGTTGCATTAGTGTCCTTGTTTCACATCCCACAACCATTTCCAAATTTTTCATCTGTGTTAAGGGTGAAGTTTTTGACCTTGCTTCCACATCTTTTACCTCTGAAACTGCCTCAACTTCTGACAAGTTGCCTAAATCTCTCACTTCTACACTGGCACAACTGGTAGCTAGTTCAGAATGCTTTACCTCCCCTAGCACCTCAATTTGTGAGGTTCTCACATGTGTCATGACCTGAGACTGTGAAACGATGGAACTCTCCATTTTGCTTGCACTAACTGTTTCTGCATGTTTTAGTTCTCTCTCTGCTGTGGTTTTCACATGTGTCATTCCTGATAATGCCTCAGCCTCTCTAGATGGTTCCATGCTTACACATGGAACCACAGATTCAGGAGTCCTTTCTGACCTTTCTTCTAAGGCAGGAAGTCCTGGACTCGCTTCCAAGGCTTTGCTACCCATTTTGGCTTCAAAACACACAGTTTCTCCTAAGCCCCTTGCCACTGCAAGGGTTCCAGGCTGCGAGACTGCTTCCAAAGCTTGTATCTTTGCCATACCTACATATGCTGGATCTCCTAAATCTTTCACACTTCTCATGTGCAGGTGTGATGATGAAATCTTCATCTCTGTCTCAGCTCTGTCACGGTCTGCTTCTGAATCACTCCTTTCTGTATCTGCTACAGGTCTTACAGTTGTTTCCAAACTTTTCACTGGTCTCACAGATCCAACTTCCATAGCTAGGAGACCAGCATCTGAGCCTGCTTCTACTCCTGCCATGCTACCTAGAGTTATTTCCGAACCTTTTGACACCACTGTTGAATCCAGTGTTGCTGCTAAACCTCTGGCCACAGTCCCACAATGCACAGCTTCTTCTGAAGCTTTCACACCTTCCATTTGTAAAGACAGAGAAGCCGTTTTCAAAGTTTTTGCTTCCACCACAGTCATTGGTCTTAGGACTCCTCCTTGACCTTTCACATCTTCTTTCTGCAAAGACAGGGGAGTTGCTTCCAAACTTCTCACATTTGATTCACTCAGCTCCTCTGGTTGTCTCAGTAATGAAGTACCTTCTGAATCTTTTGCCGCTACGGGTTCTGAAGTTGCTCTTAAACCTTTTGCCTCTGCAACCACACTCACATCTGTCAATTCTGCTGGAAGTGCAGATTCCTGGGTTCTAGCCACACTTCTTGTTTCTGTCAAGACTTTAGGTTGTAGGAACACTCCTGATGCGTTCAGCACGGTTGCAGGATTAGTGGTACCTTCTGTATCTTTGACTACTTCAACTTGCAGACATTCTCGAGCTGTTTTGACATCTTTTGCTATAAAACCCACAGGTTCCATGATTGTTTCCAAAGCTTTGGGCTTTACTACAGCAATTGGCTGCAGAGCTTCTTCCAAAGCTTTCACATTTTCTGTATGTACAGAGCTCCTAGCTGGTTCAGTATCCTTCACTTTTGTAACAGCTCCTGGTCCCAGGGGTATTTTGGCACTTATTAATTCCACCTGGGTCACACCAGTCACTGTAGGTATTTCAAAAGGACGTTGCAATGATACATCTGCCTCCAAGACACCTGAACCCTCTGCGGGGCTGCACTGCATCACACTCAAATTATCAGATATAACTGAGGGCTCCAGGGCTGGCTCCAAAGTTCTGCTCACGCCCCCTAATTCCAAAGGTGTTTCCACATTTTTCACGTGTCCCATATGCAAATATTTTTCAGTTGCTTCTGGAATTTTCACTTCTTCCATGGCCACAGACACGTGAGCTACCTTCACAGTATTCAGATCCGCCTGATTTGCAGATGTAGGAATTGTTGTCACATCACTTGCCAAAGACACAGATGCTGAAGTTGCATCTAACTCTTTTGCTCCCCCTTGCGCAACAGGCTGTAGAGATGCTTCTGAGTATTTCAACACCTCCATGGTCTCAGACTCAAGAGCTGTATCTAAAGCTTTTACTTCCCCAGTGCCTTTAGATTTCAGAATAACTTCTGTTACTTCTGAAGCTAGAGTTGCTGCTGCATCTTTTTGAATTTCAGATTTACTGGCAATTCCAGATGGGATGCTAAACAAAGTATCATTTCCAGTATCAACAAGAACACCCTTTTCACTCGCATTAATAGCTACAGGATAAATACTTTCGTGAGACTGTTCAATTTGTTCTTCTCTAGTGCAAATTTCAGTTTGAGTTATACTAGCATTTTCATGGATATCAGATTGGCTGCCTGCTAAATTAAATGGAGGGTTTGTTGCACACAAAGTCCCCTTCTCACTTCCAAGATTTTCCACAGATTGCTGAGAATCAATTCTTGAATGAGAAACAAGTCCTAAAGCTTGTCTATCAAGCTCCTCACTTGTTTTTAAGCACAGTTCTTCTGGCTGCACATGGACAGCCAGATTTGCATCTCCAAATCCTCCATGCTGTACGCTCAATTTGGAGCTTGATTTCTCTGGCATCAAGTGAGAAGCAGGCTGCAAGTCTGCATGTTCTCCATGACGTGTACTCAACTTTGACTCCTTTGGCTGCTTTTTATGCTTCTTCTCTTTCTTCCTTTTCTTCTTCTTTTTCTTCTTCTTCTTGCTTTTGTGTTTCTTGTTCTTCTTTGATTTTTTCCTAGGAATTTCATCTTCAGCAGTAGAGCTTCTTTTCGTAGACTGAGTACTATTTTTCACAGTATTTTTGTCTACATCTAGAAAAAATGATATTTTCTTTGTAAGTGTTGTTAAAACTACATTTAAAAAAATCTTTTAGACTAGTGACCAAGCACATGGACAGAAGTACAAAAAAAATTAAACTTGAAACCCACGCCTTCTTCACTAAACTACCATACACAAATAGCACACACTCACTCTCTAGCCCTCTTATACTTACTCTCAGGAGTCACTTTAAGTAAAGAAAACTAAACATTCTTTCAAAAAGTTAACCAAATCTTCTTGGGTCAGCAACACAATTCCAGTGGGAACATGACTCTTTCCAAGAAGTAGTTGGATATACTTCCACCTATGTTCAACTGGGCAGTGCATTCTTCCAGGAGGCTAGAGATGTGCTTTTAAGCTACACCAAGCTGCACATGGAAGTGAAATAAGAAATCCCACTTCCCAAACAAAGTGTCTAAGCGGTGGTATGCTTACTGCACAAAATGTGTCCGGCTCATTATCCCCTACTATGCTTTAACTTGTGAGTGAGCCCAATATTACTAGTGTATAAGAAATTATCTAAGCATATTTACTGCTGAAGTTCCTCACTAAGTTCTTCAAACAAATTTGGGGAAACAGCATCTACTTCCCCAATCCCAAACAAGCTTTAAGGCGTTGCAGGCAACCAGCTGCTCAGACTGGACTGCAGTTGCCACAAGCAACTGCAAACACCTAATAGAGCTTTTGTTTCAAACAGGTAACTAATAAATTCAGTAACAAATAAATTCAGGTGACTGCAGGGATAAGCAATCACTGAGGGGGAAATAAAAGAGGAAGACTAAGGTTTTGATCACCTTCTTTTAATTCTGTATCTCATCTTCCTCTGAATTTAACCTATGTTAGGTTCTTACCCTTCTTTGGATCTAGTGCCATGTTTTCATGAGAAAGGCACTTCTATGAAAGGCAACTTTTTATAATTTCTGTTAAATATGAGCTATATATTTAAGTCTGTTTGCATGTGATCTTCAATGATTATATTTATACTGGCCAGTGCAGTGATATGGATTCTTCAATTACAAGCTGGCTGTGATCAAGTGAACAATGCAAAATCATTCAGAAACTGTTGGTAATTACAATACTATTAAATGAACATAACTTAAGATTCCATAAAGAAGTATCTCAGATAGTTTTAAGCACAAACATTTTTACGGCATAAACAGCCTAACAAAAAAGAGTGTTTCCACCAACATTGTTGTGAATGCAATGAAAGAGGACAATGAAGCAGAGTCAAATGACCTTTTCTACACAGCATTTCCAGATAATCTCTGCTGTCCAACAGCAATGTTAACTCCTTTCCAGATATGAACAGTGGGAATGTTTACCATAGGTTAAGTTTATTAATTTTCAGGTTAATAGGACTCACATTTATTACCATGTTAGCTTGCCTCATTCTTCCATAACAGAAGAACAGCAGAAGTGAAAGTGTTGAAAATGTTCAAGGTAAACAAGCCACTGTGCATAGAAGAAAGAAAACCTTGCAAACAGAATCTCCAAAACAAACAATTTTCTATGCTACCTCTTAAAAAAAAAAAAAAAAAAAATCACTCTGGAACTATACTTACCAAGCACACAGCAGTCACCTATGTTTCAACTCCAAAAAATTAGAAACGCAGTTAATTGGAGCCTTCATCTCACTAACTCTCCTTATTGAGAAATTTTACAGAAAGGGCTAGTCCCATGACAAGGAGTACTCATATGCAACTTTTTGGCATAATAAACCCAGTAATTTATTAAATTTATGAGATTGTTACATAAAAATTTCTTAACCTTTGGAAGATTGCTATGTGAGTATCTAAGTTTTAAAGATAAGTGCATTATTCATTTTAAAACAACAAAGCATCTTACTGACAGAACAGTTAATCATACAGTTCTGAATTCCAATAAATGCTTTTAGAAATAATCTTGCAAACCAATCCAAAATAACACAACAAACAGTGCTTCTATCCATCAGTACCAGCTCTGTTAGTAAGAACTGCGCATTGAGACCCTGAAGTAGGTATATGCAAAATGAAGCACCATTTTATATATATACAAGTGAATCTTATTTATACGTTTTGGCTTTATTGTAATGGAGAGAAAATAAAAATAAATTTTTCACACCTTCAATTTTTCAGTTATGTATTTCTCTGTCCATCTACAGTTGTAAATCACAATAGACAAAAAAATATTTAATGAACATTACAATAAACATACAACTTCTCAGATGAAGCTCAGCGAGAGGAACAATACTGAAGAGTACTTTTCCATCTCTGCAAAAATTGGTTCAATTTTAAGTACTATGACAACCTTCTTAAACAAGACCATATTTGCCAAACGTGTTTTCATTTACCTGATTTGCACTGCAGCTCTGTATCAAGGGCTCCAGAGAGCACTTCCTCTATTTTCTGCACTATCTGATCACTCTGACGAGTCCCAGCACCAGCAACAGTGTCATCTGAAGGGTTGGCTTGCTCAGCTGGGATTGTGTCACCATTGGGCTGGCCTTCTACCTTTCCACTAACCAAAAAAAATATCAACATAATACAAGTAATTTTGAGTCTTTTTTGACCTTTTTTTTTAATTCATAAACATTTATTATACTCAACCCTTCAAAACAGTATTTTAGCCTCCTGAAGAAGCCATGCTTTTAGTGAAACATCTGCCTCTTGATTAACTTTCACATATTCACAACAGAACACATGGTGACAACCGAGTATCAGGCACAAGGGAAACACATTCTCAAATATGCCACAGTCCCCGTGCTTTATGTAAGAACTTGTATAGGCTCCCCTCACAAAATAAGCACCCATCACTCGCTCTTCTCCAGCAGATTTTGTTTACTGGGCAAGGTAAGGTTGGGGAAATCTAGGCGAGCTTGTAGTTAAGACTAGTGAGACAAATCACACAGACACTCGCCCCTGTCCCTCTTGCCCTGACACAAGAGACCAACACCAAAAACGCGTGAGTGAAAACGGGTGCGCGTTCGCCAGCAAACA